TGTGACAAGACCGTTAGGTCTTCCTGGGGCTGCTAAAAGTAAAATTTAAAAAAAAAAAAGTCTGCGTAGGTCTTTTATTCTTGAACTTGACCTTAAAACTCTCGGCGTTGTCCTTGTCCTTGGCCTTGTAACTTTTGGCTTTGGTCTTAACCTTGTAACATGAGGCTTTGGCCTTGCTACTTTTGGCCTTGTTAACAACTCTGAACTGTATTAATACACCCACAAAAAAATTTTCTTGGGATAAAAAACATATTTACCGGTAAAACATTGTGTAAACAGCTTAAACTCTTTTTGAGACCAATTGATTGATAGAATCAAAAGAGTTAATCAAATACTTACAATACAGTAGAAAAATTAAAGCAATCTTGTTGAAGAAGAACCTATGTTTTTATTATGCTATATGAACTGCTAACTGCAGAAAAGAAACAACTCCAAAAAATTCAAAAGTTTACTTTATAACATAAATCAGTTTTAAATGGGAAGACACACCATTTACTGCTAAAAGGGATAAACCTGCCATCATTTTTCTAGGCATGGTATCAATTTAATTTTGCGTTTACCGCAGAAAGGAAACACGACAGGGATTTGTTCCCTTTCTGCCAAAACTCAACAAGACATCTAATTGCAGTCACTAATGGAGGTTTCCCCAGTTAATCGTCACAGACCTAGACCTTTTCTTCAAAGGAGAGGTTCTTCCTCTTCAAAACCTAAATCTTTTGTAGTGAAGTACCATATTATGCACAATCGGGTTCGTACTAAGATATGTAAAAATGGATTCATGAAATCATACTGATGTATTTCCGAACAGTGTTACAGGCTCTCTCATCTGTTACAGCAAACCAAAACTCCAGTAGATAAACGAGGCAGAAATGTTTCTCTTAATGACATTCCTGGTACTTTAATCACTCGTTTGAGAGCTCATATTGAACAATATCCTACAGAAACTGAACATTATACTGGAAGAGATAAAGAATACTTACCGCTAATTTGGACGTAAAAACCATGTATGAGATATTTATAAACAAACAGAAATATTTCCTTTTAACTACACTTGACAGTGAGAAAAGGCTGTCATAAACTTTTCTGGCATTATTTCAAAGAAAATTACTTATTACGTTTTGGTCAATCTGCAAAAAACGCATGTGTTGCTTGTGAGGAACTTAAGTTGAAAATAAAAAGTCATTTTTTTAATGACAATCAGAAAAGACACGCAATAGGCAGAGGTTATGATCCACAATAGAAGGGCTAAAAGTTTTACAACGAAATAAAAGATACCACAGAGAAATGCATAAAAGACCCAAACAAGCTGGATTATGTGTAGATTACATGTCTAATGTGACATTACCGTGCATACCCGTACAAGATACTTATTATTTCAGGAAATTTACAGTAAATTTCTTTGGAACTCACGACATTGCTTCCTGAAAAATGACTGTTTATATTTATTGTGAAGCCGAAGGAGGGTAAGGTTCAAACGAAGTATGCTCTATGCTTATATGGTACGTAAACAAAAATTTCAGATGAAGTTAAAACTTTTCACCTTTTGGTGACAACTGTACTGGTCAAAACAAGTTGTGAAACTAAGAGATTTGAAAAAATAAATTTGATGTTTTCTGTTAGGGAACATTCTTTTATGCCTAATAACCATGATTTTGTAAATATAAGGAGAAATTTAAAAAAAGTAGAGATATTTTAAAACCGATGAAGTAATTAATCTGATTAACAGTTCTTCAAAAATTCCTGGAAAGTTTACTGTGGAAAAAATGTCGTTTGAAGATTTTATTAACTATGGGGCCCAAGTTTTACAAGAGAACATGCTTAAGCAATGACTCTTAGGGAATGACTCTTAGGGAATGACTCTTAGGGAATGACTCTTAGGGAATGACTCTTAGGGAATGACTCTTAGGGAATGACTCTTAGGGAACGACTCTTAGGGAATGACTCTTAGGGAATGACTCTTAGGGAATGACTCTTAGGGGGTAAATGTACTAAAATCTAACAAAATAACGTTTTCAATCTCAAAATATCGTGAGATGTAAGTTTCTTCTGATAAACCAGGGGAGATTGAATGCATACTGCTGGATTGGTAAGTATGCATACTGCTGGATTGGTAAGTGCCATTTTTCGCTTACGAAACACTATAGGAGACTTTAAACTACCAACTAATAAAGCCTATTCAGCTGTATTATCCATCAACCAGTTAAAAATTGTGGATATAAAGAAAACTTTGGTTTATATTCCGGATGAAAAGCTCCAATTTTAGAATGAAATAACGTTACGGCTTGTAACTACTGTGTCCATTCACGAAGATCAACCAACTGAATAAATAACGTTCTTAAGTTGTACTGTGCATTTTATTACGATAATAAAACAATAAAATTAAAATTTAATTAGTATTGCCTAAATAAAACACTTTTTAAGATTTTAGTAGGTCTTTTTTATTTTTAAATTTCATTTACTGCAAAAAGGGATCATGTCCATGTTTAAAAATATGTCCTACACTCAACAAAACACATTAAAAAAAAGTATGTATATATCTTTTAGACCCCTACTAACTTTTTAATAACTAGGAAAAAATTTAAAATCCTATGTTTGAAAATAAAGGGTCGAAACAGTTTTTTGTCTTTCCTGTAAAATTAGGATTTGTCTTGTTGCCTTTCTGCGGTTAGCGATTCATATGAATAATACTTAGCATATTATCAATACTCTTTAAAAATAATAATTATTAATAATACTTTGCAGTTTTTGATATCAAAGTGGGTTCAACTGATTATTCAACTTTGATAGTTCAAACTGACACACTTTACAGAAGATTTAAAATGGTCTAATTCTAAATTGTAAAAAAATTGATAATTAGTTTAAATAGTCTTTCTAATCAGCAATTTAAAAGTAATATGGTATATAAACAGCAGTTTAACGTTACATTAAATTGACTTCTACTCTTTTATTTTTTTAATAATAATTACAAAATCATGTGAATCTGCGTTTTCATATGAAAAAGGATTATCATAAAGAATTTTTACGATTGCGTTTGGCCCTTTTGAATTGTTTTACTTTCAAAATTAATCTTTCAAAGATCACCTAGTGGTGTTAATCACGTTAAGTTGATAACAAAAGGCATTTACTCTCTGCAATGTTTTTATTTGAGGGTTGATTTTAGAATTAATGGTACTAAATCCAAATTGCAAATTTTTTTATATTTTTGTGCTGAAAGTTGTATTTGAAACTATTGTTCAAATATCGAAAGGTTTTAACATATTTCTATTTTGTTATAGCTGATTTGTAAGGTGCATAAAAGTTAGTTTTAAGTGTCTAAGATTTTAAAGGTTACAACTCAACGCTTCGGTCCAGATATCTGGCGGAAGCTTATTATTTAAGGAAAAAAGAAACCGTCTAACTCTTCCGGATTCTATATAGCACATATCGCGTGTAGTTTAGAAGAATAACATTAACAGATTCCAAAAGTCGCAAGGGCAGTTAAAATGATTAGGTTGATAAAAACTTTTACCAACTACGTGATTGTTCTCGCAGTGGTGTAGCTAACTGTCAGCGCACGAGACCAAAATTGCAGAAAAAAGGCTTTTTTTTTTTAATTTAATTATTTTATGAAAAATGGCTTTTAAAAAAAATACTTTGTTTAATTGTTCTTTTTTGTGCTCCTTTAATCGCTTATATGCGGTTTTGCATAATGAAATTTTTAATTTTTTTAGTTTTATATTCTAAAAAGTATACTAATAATAATAGTTCACTTATTATTATACTATATTAAAAAAATTTATGGTTTAACAAAACAAAAGTTGGAAATTATCAATCGCAGAGACTAAAAAAAAAAAAAAACAGAACCTTGAAGTTGGGTTATTTTATTTTTATGATAATATTTTCGATTTTTATCAAATCTGCAGAAAACTTTGCTTCTTAAAAAGAGCATAAAGTTAGTTAAAGTAATATACTTATAACAAAATACATGATCAAAATACATAAAAATTTGTATGCGTATTATAAAGAAGTACTAAAGGTATACATATTATAAAGAAATAAAGAAAACTTACTACTAAAGTAAGGGGAAACATTGATTAACATGTATTTTAATACAATGATAAGGAGAAACTGATGTTTTGAGGAATCTTAAAATTAATAAAAAAATGTATATATATATATATATATATTATATATATATATATATATATATATATATATATATATATATATATATATATATATATATATATATATATATATATATAATTGCAAAAAAATTTGCCAATAACTATAAAGAAGTTCTAGTGGATTTATAATATAAATAATTTTATCGGATAAAGAACAATTAAATAAACCTTACTCAATATAAAATTCACAAAGAAATTCTATTTATCAAAGTTTGACATATATTAAATATAAAAAATTATCTAAACACCTATTTATATGAATTATTTGCGAAAAACAAAATTCAGATAATAATAATTAATATCCATGAAAATGTGCAGGTAGAAAAATAGTAAAAATTTTAGAGATGCAATTGAAAATAAAAAGAAAAAAAAGCAACCCGCATGCAAAAAATTATAATTATGAACTGGTATAATTGTATATTAGTATTGAAACTTAAATTTCAATTTGAATTTTATTTATTGAAAATAATAAAAATCTCTTTATTATACAAACTTTATTTTCGAAAAGATTTATGGCAACAATATTCTTATTTAAAAAAATAATAATAATAATAAAAAAAAAAAGGAAAGAAAATAGAAAGTTTAAATATTCTAAAATTTGGAATAATGTAAAAACTATAAAATAGTATAGTATCATTGAAATAAAGTATTTTATTGGTTTGATATAAAAAAAATGTTTAATGTTTTCCATCACACTAAGGCTTTCTGAAAAACTCCTTTGCATAAATGTGCTTATATAAAAGTTTTTTTGTAGCTTACGATAACTTGCAATCACCAACTAATACATCTGAGAATATTCTCATAAATTTTAATTTTTCACAGTTTTTTTTAATATTTTAGTTTAATGTCGAATATTTATTTAGTACTTCTTACAGCCAGTCATCTTTGTCATTTGGAGATTTCTCCTCGAAGGGATAATGTTCAAATAACCATCGCTGGTTAGCATTATTAGTATCACATGCTCGAATAAGAATTTGATCTCCTTGGCCTTCTAAACATTTTTTCCGTGATTCATGCATTATTAGGCCACTCTACAATATAAAAACATTAAAGACATTTATAAATTTGAAAACTTTAAAAAAAAAAAAAAACCTTTTTATAAACAGTTTTTTTAATTACACAAACAATAATTTTACTTTGGTGTGTTTCCACTTTTGATTACCCCCTTGCTTATGACAAGGCCATAACTTTACTTTGGCATTAAGATCACTATCACTTAGGTCCAAACACAGTCCATCATGCCATATTTCAAACTTTTTTGTAAAGATAAAATACTAAACAAAGATTTAAAAGATATTATATCTAGAAGCAATAAAACAGTTTTTTATTTCAAAATACTTTCCTAAAAATCTAAAAACAAAAATCGTTTTACAATAAAATAAAAATAGTGCCTGATTTGTTCCCATTTTATGACAAGGATACAATCCAGGCTTTCCCCCCTGGTTATTTTGTGCAAGTGTATCAAGGCAACTCAATGTTCCAAGATTCTTTACCTAAAAAAATATAAAAATAATCAATGATTTTAACTAATTTGGAGTTAATTAAGTTAGTTTTATATTAAAAGAATTAAAAAGATTTTAATTAACACAATCACTAATCAAAAGTTATCAAAAACACATACATCGCCTCTTCCATATGGATATTTATCTGGAATCTCTAATTCTGGAATTATATTTTGCAAATACCATTTGAAACTTTTGCATTTAAGGTCTTCTCTAAGTTTTTTTCTCTCGCTAACATCTCCACCTTGTTCTGGTTTTAAATTTGCACGAAATGAATAAAATATTTCTTTGAACTCATCCATCCAAACCTCAGCTACTCTTATACTGTTATGATCAGTTGAACCATCTGGACTTTTATAAGGAGCTCGTTCTCTGAAAACATGTCCAACACGAGAGCATGGTATGATTTCAATTCCTTCTCCACACATCCATAACTTTAAAAACAAAAACATTAGTTGGTTATATTTTACATGAACTTTTTGGGTAAACATTCATATATATATATATATATATATATATATATATATATATATATATATATATATATATATATATATATATATATATAAATATATATATATATATATATATATATATATATACATATACATATATATATATATATATATATATATATTTATATATATATATATATATATATATATATATATATATATATATATATATATATATATATATATATATATATATATATATATAACCCTTGGAATTAGGGTTGGCATTCGGCAATGCTGACTTTAAAGTGTTTGAGGTCGGCAAAAAATTGCCAACCTCTATTCAATGTTTTATGGTCAGACCTTTGTATCAAATAATTTTTGCCGGCCTCAAAATCATTTTCTTCTATTTTTACTTTTACATATGTGAACCTATGTGAAATATATGCATCACACTGAAATTGGAAAAAGCTGGGCAAAGTGTGCATATGTATGAACATATTTATTACCTATTCCAATTTTAATATGATGTTAACAATGAGGTTTTATGATAATCTAATAATATCTAATCTAATAAAGTATTTGAGAATACCTACTAGTATTAAAATTTTGCCCAAATAGTATAAATAAATTTTTTAATTGCAAAAAATATTATTTTTGTTATTTTTCTTTTTTATCATCTATTTATCTGGGATGCAGAATCCCAAAAGAACTCTCTGGCTTTATATTTCTATTTTTTTTAGTTCACTGGTGTCCAGAAGCTCTACATATGTTGGCAGAATAATGATCTACTATAAGAAAAAAATTTATGAGATTTAATGACTTGGAACTTATTGTTTTTAAGCCTGGAGTCCCAGAGTCCTTGCTTATTAGGTTCATAAGTTTTTTTATATTTTTAGAGCTCCAGGAAGCTTTTTTATACTTTTAGAGCTTCTGTTTATATACCTTTGTTTTTGGTATCCTGGATACCAAAAACTAGGATTATATAACCTTTTTGTGACTTTCAAAATGGATTCCTTTTTGGGACTCCACATCCCTGCTATTTATAAACCTAAAATATTCTATTAATAAAAGTAGATTATGATAGTTAGGTGAAAGTAAGACACAACTTGAAAAATTGGTCCTGTGTTGTTCCTCATCTATATTAATGATCTTCCTAATCATCTTACATCTATTTTCTGTTGTGTCTTAAATATATATACACTGACACTGATTTTAGCTAATAACAAAAGAATTTTTTTTTTTTTATAGTTTTATGAAAAAATCATGTAAACTAATAAAAACAACAACAAGTAAAGTTTTAAATACACATAAACAACAATCAAAAAATAACAAAAAAAAAATAAATTTAGAAAAAAAGAACTCTTGAGGTAAATGACATTTATATATTAGAAAAGAAATTGGAAGAAAAAAAAAAGTATTCAATCAAAAATTTAATTTGTACTTTTCTTTTCTTTTTTCTTCCACATGTTTATTTCTTTTTATATATTAAATATCTTTCAAGTTTTTTTTTTTTAACATTATCATTGCATATTTTATTATTGATTGTTAATCCTACTTTGCCCTTTAAATATTTTCTAAAGCATTCTAAAGATTTTAAGAATTAGTATTATGAGAAAAATGACACTTATTAGTGTCATTTTAATTTTTTTATTATTGGTGTCATTTTAAACTAATAAAGAGCTTGAATTATAAAGCAAAAATTTGCATCTTATTTTTATAAAAACACGATTTGAGTTAAGCAGATAATATAAAGTGTTCTAAACAACATAAAAAGTCTATAACTTAGAAGTAATAAATCTTAAATACTCCTAAAATAATATTAAACTAACCCTAAAAGACATTTCAACATTTTCACCTCCCCAGTATGTTAACTGTCGATCGTAAGCGCCACTTTCAAAAAAATACTTTCTATTCATAGCAAATAAACCACCAGCCATAGTTGGAGACCTAAAGAGAAAATTTTTTAAATTTGTTTCAATTTAACCAATGTTAACAATATCTTAACAGAATAATTTTATTATTCAAATAACACTTATTAAAACATAAATACAATAAAAACAAAAACTAAAGTAACAAAAACAACAATTATAAATATTATTCAAAATACTTACAACAACAACAACATTTTTTAATGTTGAGTATTTTGAATAATATTTATCATTGGATGCATTATTTGGGTTATAATTTAAATTATAAATCTGCTTTTTCTCTAGGTTTAATACTTTTTGTTTAGTTTTTTAATGATAGTCCAGGCCTTGTTTTAAAGCGTTACGCCTAGAGCAATTTACGTACGCCTTAGGGGATTTTTATGTACATGTAGAGCTGTTTTGGTTAAGCTACTTTTTATCATTTTTTAACTTTTAATTTAGCGGCAACATAAAAGAAGTAATTAATTTTTTAAAAAACCGCATTAACTTTTAAACGATATGTAAAGATATTTATTACAAAAAAGAATTTACGTTAAAAATAATAGTTGTAACTTTTCATCGCGATATATCTTACCTTTTTATAGCAATTAATTTTACGCTAAACTTTTTATCCAAATGAGCATGAAAATGCAACATGAAAAATTCATCGTCAATCCTTAACTAAAATTTTTTTGCAATGTTTTTAATAAAAAGTAGTAATTTTTAAAAAACTTGTCAAAAATCTATATTCCATATTTATTAATGCAGAATATAAATGTTTTTGTAGTATAGATTTTTTAAGAATTTTTTACTGAATTTATAATAAAAAACATTTGCAAAAAAATTTGTAACTAAGGATTGACATATTTTTTAATATCTCAAAAAATGTCTTAATATTTTTGTTATCACGATAACAAAAATATCAAGACATTTTTTCGAGATACTAAAAAACTGTGCCAATGAATGAACAATCTATTTGTATTTTTCTAAAAATTACTTCATTAATTATTACTCTTTGCTTTTCTTATTAGTTAAAGGTATATAGATACCTTTACCTTTAAGTTATGCGAGGAAAGGGGGCTGGCACAGAAAAAAAAATTACCTGTTACTCGCAATTTTTGAATGAAGACAATTTGTTAAATTTCTTATAACGGAGGTTTCATTATGCACGCGCACATTACAGATTCCGTTAAATAAATACTAAGGCACATTTTAGTTTAATGACAGTCTCTATTTTTACTAATGAATATGTATTTTTCTTAATAAAACAAGACAAACTAGTATATAAAAACCTTGTATATTTTTATTCTTTCTAAGTTGTTTAAAGTTCAAATATGGATTGTATTTTGAAGGACAAAAGATTTACTTTAAAAAACTTTTAAATCTTGGGACTTTGCCAATGTGATGATCACAGAAAAAGAGAAGACTTACGGTATTAAAATCAAATGTAAGTTATGTGCTCTTCATCAAAATAAAATATTATCCAAAGACAATGGTGCCATAAGGGCAGCTGCCCTACGGTTTATGAATAACACAAGTCATGTTAAAATATTTTAACATGTTACTATATTTTAATTAAGTTGATATATAAATAAAAATAAAAATATAGTTCAATAAATAAATTTCATTGTTCTTAACAAAGATTATCTTATATCTATTCTTTTTTTATTTTATTAAGTTAAATTGCTTACAAACGAAAAAAAAAAGAAAAAAAAAAAGAGTTTTGTAATTAGACGTAGAATGAAAATACTTTTGAGTTTGTTTATAAGTTAAGGAATTTAATTTTTAATAAACAAATTTTTACGAACGTTTATTATAAACAGATATGATTCAAAAGATTTGCTGATGATACTACCATTTATTCTTGTCACAATAAGAAGCCAACTCCCTCTGATTGCTTGCAGGGGGCATCTGAGCTTGAAAAGGATCTCACTTCTGCTACAGCATGGGGCTCACAGTGGCTGGTGAACTTTAATTCAGATAAAACTCAATTTTTTTCGGCCAATCGTTATCGCAATAGTTTAGACCTTCCTATATTTATGAACAGTAATGTACTCGATGAGTCTCCTACCCTTCATCTTCTAGGATTAATTCTTACTTCTGTTCTTTCTTGGAAACCTTATATCAAATCCGTTTTGGGATTTTTGAGGCAACTTGCAATAAAGTTTGAAAATAGTTTTTTGCAATGCATTCCAACAACAGCAAATATTATATAAAAAAGTTAGCAAGAAATAAAGTACTAATCTAAAAGATCCAAAATAATAACAAACTTGTTTGGTTTAACATCCGCAAATGCTATTTCTTTAAAAGTTTCTCCCTTTTTGGCTAAAAAGTTAAATAACTTATTAAGTCTTACCGTAAACTCAAATTTAAGTAGTACATGTATTTCGTCAACAAAAACATCAAGAAGGTTATGTCAGATACCTTTTGATCAATTACGGTTATTAGGGAAAGTCTTTTAGTTATTGTTTTTCTTTTTTTTTGATTTTATATCAACTGAATTTGCTAAAGTTTTTTACTTTTTTACTGGTATTCTTAGAAAACACGTGTGCAATCGCTTGCTAATAATGATACTCTATAATTAAACGACATTTGTTGTTCTTTTTGCTGGGACTTTGTGATTATAACTTTATTTCCCTATGCGATTTATGTATAAAATAAATTATTATTAATTATAAAATTGAACTCGCAATAAATGTGAAATATGAAATTTATGAGCTTGTGTTTACTATTTTTAAAACCTTATCTGTTTTCAAAAAATTTCTTTTGATAATACAATTTATTACATGATGATGTAAGGGTTTGTCCATAAAGTACGTCGAGCAGAATTTAAACAATAATTAGAAGTAGAAGATCATTGGGTCATTGGAGATCGCTACTTTACTATATTACATTGAAAAAGAAATATATATTCAAAATAATACTCTTGAAATGTAAGCGGCGACAATATATAAAGATTAAAAATAAATCAAATTAATTATTCTCAATAATAATTAATATACACTGATTATTTTATAATAAAAAAATATATCATTCCTAATATATGTTCGGAAACCGGTTCTTAGTTTGCCGTGTCGTCGTGAAACAACAGCTAATTTTGTATTGATTTCATATTCATCTTTAATGATACAGATGGTATTTTATTTTATTTTTGCCGCTGATCAATCAATGTATGCAGCGCTGAAGCAGAGTAGAAAAAAAAAAGAACACCAAAAAAGGACCCCATGCTTTCCCACAACATGAATTAAATGCGGTAGTGGTGTAGTGGTAGAGCACTCGCTTCATAAACGAGTGGTTCCGAGTTCGATCCCCACCACGTCCCTGGTAGTACCGCGCTCAACTCGTTTCTCCGCGCAGCGGCCTTGTTCGTCAAGGTTCGTGTTTCGGAGTTATAGAGTTGAGAGAGGGTTATAGCCACAAATAAGTAGCCTCCTCGTCTGTAGTGGCCTTCTCGGCCTTGAGGAGGTCAATTAAAATTAAAAAAAACACATTTTAATATCAGGGGAGGGGGGGGGGGGAGTGATTGAGAAATACTTTGAAAATTTCCCAATTTCGTTAAAACGCTGTATCAAATTTATTCCTGGTTAACACTCTGTTTTATAGTAATACATTTAAATGTTAAATTATTTTTTTGGATATAATGTTTTGATTTCAACTTTTACATTTTTGTGATCACAGAGTCAAGAGCTTTCAAACCCCACATCTTGTTTCTCTGGGTCAGCTAAAAGAGGTTTTGAGAGGAGTAATCTCGAATTTTTGAGAGGAGTAAACATAATAATATAATTTAATTCTGATAAAAAATATATGATTTAATTTAAAACTGATTTGAGAAAAATATATAATTTTATTCAAATAAAATAAAAAAATTAAATTTTGATTTAAAAAATAAAATTAAGTTTATTAAAATTAAAGTTAATGCTTGGGTTTAACTTAACTGACAAATTTATTTAATAATATAACTAAATATTGTTCAATATTTAAACTTTATTTATTCTTAAAAAAAAGAAGCTCATTTTAATTGCAATTGTTTTTTTGGTTTTCCTTCCTAAACATGTATTTTTTAATCAAATTAACTTTGAGATTAAACGGTTGCATCAAAAATTTGCAAAAAATGTGCAAATTTTTGCACAAAACGCAATTTAAATCACAGCAATTATTTTTTAATAATTAATATATACAGCGATTAATAAATGATATTTGGAAAAACAATCTTTGCTTTCACAACAAAATTGTTAATAAAATAATAATCTTTTAATAAATAACATATAATAATTTATATATATATATATATATATATATATATATATATATATATATATATATATATATATATATATATATATATATATATATATATATATATATATATATGTATATATATATCTTAATTACATATAAAATTAATTAACATAACTTTTTTATTTGTTACTCAGTAATTTTTTTAAATAAAAAATAATTTGTAGTTACAAAACTGCAATTAAAAATTTAAGAAATAATCATTTAAAAATTCAAAATTTTTTACATATTTTAATTCATTTATGAAAACAAATTTTAATTCATTTATGCAAACATATTTTAATTCATATATGCAAATGTTGAGAAAAGAAAGAAATTTGTTAATATCAAACATTTTTAACAAGGTAATATTAAAATTAACTATTTAATATTTAAAAAAAATAAATAAAAGAAAATAAACATTCCCTTATAGTAATAATAAAAAAGAAGTTAAATAATATTTAACTTGTTTCAAAACTATAACTAATTCTTCTTCCAATTGCATGGGCTATCCTACAGGTATAAATAATAAACATAAATTACGTTTTAAAACAGTTAAGTGTTTTGTTCTAAAACCCCTGACTGAAACAAATGTGAAAAAAATAAATAATAATTTACTTAATAGGATCTGATTCATATTTTCTTCTCATCTTTTCACGTGGAGGCAATGGCCCCCAATTAAACATTAATTCCCAACTGAAAATTCCTCTGTTGTATGAACCTTTCTCAGAACTATATTCAAAATTTTTGAAAGAAATAACTTCGATATCCGGTACAACAGCAAGCTTAGGATTTTCTTGTAACCTAGCAAGCAATGGTTCCAACCAACCAAAACTAGCTTCACAGTGAGAGTCTAAAAAAACTAATACTTCTCCAACAGCATTATCTGCACCAATTAACCGAGCTTGAGTCAATCCAACTCGAACAGGAGATCGAATAAGTTTAACTTTAGATAAAGTATTAACATAATTCTCTAGCTTTTCACCAAGATGACCTATACAAATTTATAAAAATAGTTTCATTATAGTTTTATAGCAAAACACCTCTATTTAGTTTATTATTTTATATGTTAATTAAATTTTATACAATCAGTTAAAACCTTTTGAAGAACAAACAACCTAAAAAAATTTTTCTTGCGTAAGTTTTAACATATACATACAAATACAACTTTTTTCAATAAAAAATTTGACAAAACTATTTACAACAATCTAAATTTTAGACCAAAATATTAAAAAATCCTACTTAGTTTTGGGGAAAAGTAAATTTAAAAAACAGTACCCCTAAATAAACTCTGTGTGTCACTGTATTTATATATTAAAGACCAGATAAAACATATTTTTAAAAACATCATTAAAGTATCAAATTTAAAGTCAAAAAGATGTTTTTTTAAAAACATAAAATTTTTTGTAAATGCTAATGTTAATAAAACAATTTGTAACTTATAAACATAAAAATTATTAATAAAAACTTGATGTATTGTTTAACCGATCTAATAATTATTTCTCATTGTACAAAAACCAGGTGATCTAACTTTTTATGTTATAGTTAAATCCAATTCTCTAGATATTATCTAAACTGTAAAAGATATCTAATCCCATAAAAAATATTTCGTTTAGTGAAAAAGTATTGATTTAAGAGATTAATAAATATTTGATTGAGCTGCACAACTTTACAAGTGTCCTTAACTCTAGTAGATATAGATATTTAAAAAAAAAAGCAAAACCAATATAAAGTGACACAAAAAAATAAATCTGAATTAAAAAAACACTTTTACTTTAAATTATTAGGTAACTTAGGTATTTAATGTAACTTTAAATTAATAGGTAACTTTTGCATATCAACCCACTAAAAGTTCTGTTATCACAAAAATTTTCACACCAGTGATTAAAACAATAAAACTTTAAAATTTTATAAATTTTTTTTTATATTAACTGCTTATTCCCCCTTTTTTTGCTCGTAATTAAAGTACTCCACCTTTTTGAAAAAACTAAATAAATAATAATGTGGAAATATCTATCTCTTAAAAGCTGAGAGGTGAATACTTAATTGTGTCAAGGAACTGTGATTAAAGAGATTAATTTCTCAAGTATTGTAAAAATTGACCAACCTTGATGAACAAGACTGTAAAGTAGAAAAAACAAGTCAAGCACTGTACTTATGAATGATGAATAAGTTATCAGGCAAAATAAATCTTTTTATCAGAAAATTATTTTTAAATTAGATATTTTTTACTAAAATAATTTTAATATATTTTAGGAAAAGATTTTTGTTCTGTTCCTTTTAATCTCATTTTGAACAAATATTTTTTAATTAGTAAACATTTCATAAACATTTTATCAATATGCATCAAGCCACATTGTTTAAGTTGTTATTATTAATCATAATTTATCAAAAAGTAACTATGCATTACCTAATACCAGAGGCAGGATTGGATTCATGCATCTTGAATACTACCCTAACATGTTAACTTTTTAAAATTTAAAGAACTTTATCGAATACTTTAAATTCATTTTATATTAAAAACAAGTTAAAGAACAACTTAAATACAAACGGTTAACAGCATAACAAACTTAACTGCATTAATTTTAAAGTTTTTACCACACATTAAACACTAAATTGATACCATATTTTTCTTTAACACTTGCATCATCTACTAAAATAATTTCTTTTAACATGTGAGGTGGAGAGCGAGCTAACACTGTATGTACAGTTCGCAGGAGAACTGACCATGCTTCATTGTGGAAAATTACAATTACACTTGTTGTAGAAAGTTTTACAGGATAATCTACATTAAAACACCTGGAAAAAAAAAACTTTTTAAGTCAGCATTTTAAAAATTTAAGTTTCAAATTGTATTAGGACAGTTTTAACAACATATATATACATAAATGCAGCTATAGATAAACATTAGTTAATTAAATGAAATAGTTAAATATATAAATGCAGCCTTACATAAACATTAGTTAATTAAATGGAAAAGCTATATTATTATAAGTGAACTGGATTCAATATTTCATAGACTGAACCAAATTAATATGTAAGAAATAAACGAATTAACTGTGCATAGTAATAGCAAGAGTGTAATGATTAATTTTTTTTTTATGTTTTATTTTAAAATATAAATGTAGCGTTAAGACTTAGTAATTTTTTAAAACTTTTAAAAATCTTTAATTTTAAGTACAAAGATGGCTGAATACAATTAAGGACATTCCAAAATACAGCCAAATTGTAGTACAATGAATGAAATAAATTTGGCCATTAAAAAAATGATTGATGTTAAAGGATGTGGAGTAGAATGAGGCTTGTCTTAAGTTTGAAGAGAAGTAATAAAAGCTTCAAAACTTTTATTTCAGAAGGAATAAAAGCTTCCAAGATGCACTTTATGCATACATATTATGGATATAAACAAATCTGTTTGCTATTTATTCAGATGCTGACATACAATATCCTTTATTTGTTATATAAACTTTAGTATTTATATGGTGTAGTATTTACTAAAAGAGAAGATGAATGGATGTTTGGTGTGTCTCTAGCAAGACAAGAAAAAGGAGGCATAATCTTAGACAGATTAGAAAAAACGTTATATCAAACAAGGTTTGTTAGAGAAGATTAAAGTTTAGATATCAGCATGTAGAGAGGTAGCAGCTTCAGTAGAAAATGGTAGTGGTAGAAGTAATAAAATTTAAAGAGAGTCCCTTACATATTGTATGAATAAGCTTTAGTTAGGAAAAAAAAATGCTCTAGATTGAGAGAAACAGCATAAAAGAGGAAGGCCTGATGATGATGATGATGATAATGATGATAATGATCATCAGACTTTAGCCTTCCTCTTTTATGCTGTTGATGATGATGATGATGTTGATGATAATGATGATCATCAGACTTAAGTCTTCCTCTTTTATGCTGTTGATGATGATGATGATAATGATGATTATGTTGATCATAATGATGTTTATGTATGCATATATACACAAAATATAACATGAATTTTGAATAAAAAAAATACTTTAGGATGTATAAATCTTTATGCATTCCCGGTCACAAACCCAGCCCCAGCCCGACTACCATACCTTTATAAGTATTTTGACTGAGCGAGTTGTTGTAGAACAACAAATTAAAACTAATGTCATATAAAGTGTTTTAAACTAACTGATTGAGTATGTATTTAAAATAATGAGCAGATGGTTGGTGTTTAAGAAGTATTTGAATTCTTGTCTTGATAGATGTGATTGTTATTTCAATAGCAAGTTTGTTGACACATATAGCCTTCAAATTTTAAAAGATTCAAATGTAAATTCTGATTAGTTGTATTTATGCTACAGCAAAATATAACCAGAAAAAATCAGCTTTCTTTTACAATTTTAACAACAAATTGGTGAGTCTTTGCAAAGCTGAAAAATTACTCAGTTACATAACCAAACATGCTAGAGGGCGACTGTTTATCTATAAGATTTGATATGCAAAAGCATTTTCCATCCCTTTAAGACAAGCAAAATCATGGTAGAAACTGTGAAAAAGAATTTAGCTGTGTGCAATGATCTAAATGTAAATTCATAATTTAATTATTAATTATTAACTTAAATAAATTTTATAAAGTTAATATTGTTTAATAAATAAAATTCAGTACATTATAATTTAAATCAATTTTAAAAAGTAATTGCTAGAAAATAACACTTTATTCTCAAAGTATTATCTTTGTTCCATATTTTATTGATACTTGGTCATATTTGCACAATATGACCAAATATCAACAAAAGTTGATATTTGGTCATATTGTGTTTAGTCAAGATTTCAAATTAACTAATAAAATAAATTTATTTAAAGAACTTTGAAACAAAAAATCTCTGAGAAAAGTTTATCTAATACCTTCATAGTTATCAATCAAATAACTTAATAATGTATATTAAATAAGATAGTTAATAGTTTATTAAGTAGCAACAATTTAAAATAACCTTGTAATGTTTAGTACGGTAAAAATTTTTTTTCAATGTTAATTACCTTTTTTATTTTTATTTTTTTGTAATATTGCATCATAATTGGTGTAAAAAGCGGTTAACAATTAAAACCAGATGCCCAGGACCATGTTACTTTGTGTAATGATAACTTAACACACTTAAAACATAAATTTATATGCAAACTTTAAAATTTAACATTTGTACTTACGACGAATCTCGATTATCAGGAATACTTCTTTCAAGTGAGATCTTTGAACTTGCTAACTCATTGAATCCATAGTCATCAAAGCTTTTATCTTCTATAGCCTTTTCATTAACTGAATTGGACACAGCTTGCCCTTCCATCCCGGCACTGCCAGGTTCTGGATTTAAAATGTTTTTATAAAATTTTCTAAAATAATCTATTTTAACTTTTGTTGTTTCATCAGCAAAAATTTCATTTTCAACATAGTTTCTTGTTAAAGATACTTTTTCTGAACCAGTCAGAAACAAAGCAGTAAAATCAATAATAATCCAAAACAATGAAGTAATTAATATTGCTGCACAAACATATCTCTTTGTAAGTCTCATTTTATGAGTTAATCAATACATGTTTTAATACATCTAAAAATAATTAAAAAAAACAACAACTAATTTTTAATAAAAATAGAAACTAATTTCAAGATTATCAATATTTAAAAAAAAATTTATATGATAAAAGAACTATATATTTAAATAATGTATATGTGACTTTTCCTTCTCATTCTTAACACAAGTTTTATTATATAATATTAAGCAATATACAACTAAAAGGTTGACAAAACTTACTTTTTTATAAAATTAAAAAAAAAAAGTTTAACAAATGATAAAATTAAAAAAACCAACAAGATTGACCGGTTTATTGGATTCTTGGTGGCTTTTTTGAATACATTTTTTATGTCAATGTTAGGTTAGTAACTTTTTATGTGGTGGTAATTTATCATTTTAATTGTATAATTATAGTTATGGTTTGAAAAGGTAATCATGTCTTATCTAAATCTACCGGGCAATTATTCGGTTTAAAGAATACCATAGTTAGACTCAGGCACTACATTATGCCCTAACCAAAACTATCAGTTAGTATAGACATACTTTGTGTTTAAATATTGGAAAATTTTAATAAAAGCTGAATATATTTTCTAATTTAATATTGTGCTTAAAGCCTATATACATATCCAACGTTGAAAAAGAAGTGAATTCTTGATACTATTATCATTAATAACACGAATAGTAATATTATTTGCATTCTTTATTAATACATAATGCTACAACTATGATGCTTACGTAAAATTATTTTATATCATTCATAAATATGGATTTGTTGGATAAATATAGACTATTATCATAAATATTAGATTATAAAGAAAACATGTTAAAAATTTATATTTACTTTTTCTATTGAGAAATTTAACGTTCCTTAAAAACTTGTCTTACCGAAAAAAAATTATATGTATATATAAAAGCAGTTTTTCTCAAACTGTTAAAAAAATTATATACACCTAATTTATTTTATGTTTATCAAATGTTTAATGCACGGTCAATACTAATATTATGTGTGTTGTTTTAATATTAATGTTAAAAACTTTTAATTAAATAATTTAATAATAAAACCGCATGGTGTCTCATTCTAATATTTACAATAAACAACGACAAGTTATGTGCATGTTTAGGCAATCGTTCTTCATCAATATTTTCGATTCACTAAGGGGGAAGAATATTTGGGGTTGATAGGCTCACCTAACTATTATGCGTCACGCATTTTATGTTTATTGATTTGGTTAATCGAAACTTTATATACATTACGACCTCTGAGCATCCATGCATACTTAGTTAAAGGGTGTTTGTTATTATTTATTGTAATAAATTTAAACTTATTACTAATTTAAAAAAATTTTATAAACTACATAAGCAAAAAAAAACACGCTGAAAAATTTTTTGTAAAATAATTTTTTTATAATTATTACTCAAATTATTAGAATTTTTAGTTTACTTTTTACAAACACCCTGTTAATAAATACTGTTAAAATGCTCAAATGACAAATATACGTCAACACGGGAGACAAAATTTTTTTTTTAGTAAAAACTAACAACAAGAAAAATTAAAAGAGAATAATCTGAACAAAATTTTAAAAAAATGTAAAAGTATTAAACTAATTTAAAAAAAATGCAATTTTTTAAATACTTTTTAAAGTTTAAAAATGATATTTTATCAAAAAACAAAGACCCGTAAAATAATTAAAAAGCAGAAAGTTAAAATTTTCCGCAAAATGGTCCTAATATTAGATCAAAGTAGACATGGCGTGCACCTCCGATTTAAAACATCTAACTTCTCAAGAATTTGTGGCGGGAAAGCCACTAGATAATCAAAACAAGGTATAAAGATGTAAAACTTTTCCATTACCAGGCCAATAATCTAGCCATATTACTTTTATCGTTACCGTTTGACGTAACTCGAAGCACTTGTTAAAATTTGTTCCTCATTTTTCATTTAATATTTTCTAAAAGTTTAAAACAAATGAATTTAAATATCATAGTCCCTTTAATCCTGATATGCTCCAGATTTTTCAAAGTGTCGTACAAAATTTAGCTAAATTTAGAAGTTATCTAGTGTGGTGAATTATTATTATTATTGGAATATTATTTAAATATCTAATTTTATTTAAAGAACTAAACTTTTATCTTAAAACTAACCAATTATTTATCAAATGTTATCAAAATTGATATCAAAATGTATTTATAAGTATATTTCAGAACTTATAGTAAGTTAATATTACATTATAAGTTGTCAAAGCTTTTAGTAAAGACTAAATGTATTAAATAAGGACCTTATTTAAAAGATAGCTTGCACATAACATAATTTTGGTAATAGATTAAGGAAATAGCAAAGAGTTACAAATGAATCAAAGAAAACAAAGGAATTTTCAAAATAATAAAAAATTATGTAATCATAGTAAAGTTATTTCTTCTCTCAATTAAGTAGATCTTAATTAAAAAAGAGACAGACAAACATGTTTTAAAAAAAAATAAATAGAATCAACTAATAAAAAACAACAACTGAAAAATCATATTAATAATCGATATTCAACCATTTTTGATACAATTTGTACAATTGTTTTAGGAATTTCTATAAATGACAAGAAAAAACTTCGATAACATGAAAGAGTTGTTATAGCTAGTGGCTTATAGTAGTTTTTATTAACTTATTGTCAAAAATAAGGTTACTTGTACAATTAATTGTTTGTATCAGCGCTTTATGTTAAGCCAAAGGGTTCACAATTCAAGATTATTGAATAAACTGTTGCAATTTTTAATTAAACTAAAAATATGTCAAAAGATTATAAATTGACTAGGTTTTATTAATTTCACATAAAATTTTGTTTTTAATACTACTTGTGTATATTGTTATTACTACACATTCAGTGCTAAACGTTTAGTTAGAATAAAAACAGTTTAAATGACCTTTTAAGACAGAGAGATCATCACAGAAACATTTTGCTCAGGCATATAATTTTCATAAAAATGTTTCAATAAGCTACCTTTAAAAGTCTTGAGCTTCCAATATTATTGTACTTGTCTGAAGGTTGAACAATATTGTTGATATTACTTGTAAAGATATTTTTAGTACTGCAAATGGACAATTATGCTTCCCAGTAAGTTTATATAGTGAAAAAAAATTCTCCTTTTTTTCTAGGAATATCATCCCAAATAAGCTTGAGGAAAAATTTGTATCACATAGAATTTAAATCTTAAACCTGAATTAAAAATTTTAATTTTTTCAACATACCGAAAAAACAAACAAAAAAAAAACTAAAATGTATATCAGTGGTGTCTGAAAGTTATAATTTTATGTTAAAATCTTAACTCATAAAATTAGATAGTTTAGCGTTATAAATACAATATGACTCTTTCTTGTTAAAATATCAAAGATTATTTAAAATTGTTTATTGACATACTTTGGATCTAGCAAGATTGCCAAAAGACTTGGGTTGGTGTGAGTGAGGCAACAAGGTTGGTTAGCAGGAGTGAGATAACTGCATGGTTTATTGCATTTATTCTTTTTATGATTTTCTATGTGATGGGTTGCTAGACAGATCTCTTTTGATTCTCTACTGAAAATTGCACCTTCTTTATAAATTCCATGCAGATTCAGAAAAGCTTAAAAGATTTTATTTCTTTTTGTCAGTTTAAAGTCAAGCCTTCTTGAGCAACTACTATTTCTAGTTGAACTCCGTTTCTTTTATCTGGATGTCTTTTTATGTCTTTTTATCATTACAAGAAAGCAATCCAAAAGTTATTTTGTCATTCTAAGGTCTAATTATTATTAATTATTCTAAAATTATTCAAATGGCTGCAAAATGGCTTTTAGGTTTCAAATTTTAAAACTCTGGATTAAAACAAAAAATTGAAATTGATTTCTAAATGCAGGCATGAAAATAAGTTTCTTCTAAAAAACCGTAAAAACTAATGATAAAATAATTATGTTAAATCCTCCCTTTAAAAATATATTTAAAAAAAACAATAAAAAAAAATACCAGCATACAATTCTAATAAATTTTTTATATAAAAGTGTCAGCATAATCCACAAATGTGTAAAAATTTGCAGTAGTTAAGACATTTGTGACTTCCTGTAATTTAAACTTTGGTATAAATTAAAGTTTTATTAATTTGATCATTTATTTCTTTGCATTTTTTTTTATTTTCTGAAAATGTCGTCTAGATTAATTTGGCATTTTAGAATTTAAAGTGTGCAAAATATATTAAAATAGCCACCAAATTAAGTCATATACATACACAATACACATATACACACAGATATATATATATATATATATATATATATATATATATATATATATATATATATATATATATATATATATATATATATATATATATATATATATATATATATATATAAACACATGCCACATTCAAAGTTTATATTTTATAATTTAAAGTGTTCTTTATGATTTTGTATTTTTATAGGCCTTGCAAGAATTTATTCAACCACACATTGAATCGTTTAATTATATTTTAGAAAATGGTTTAAATGAAGCTGTAAAAGTAAGTATTATAGTTTATTGCTGCCCTGTTTTTAATGAACACCAACCACTATTTATGTTAAACTAAAATGTTTTTGTTTGGAATTTATTTGGTTTTTAAATAGCTATAAAGGTTTTTTATGATGCATTATAATAAAGTAGTTAAGATTTTTTAATGGTATTTTAATGAAGTAGTAAGTACAGGCCTTGTGAATAAAAACAATATTTATGTTTTTATTCACAAGTTAAATTTAATGGTTAAAGACAATTGTGATGTAGTCTTTATTTTTTTATAGTTTCTAAATTAATTTTTAAAGGAATTCATGTAAAAGTTCAAAGTTAATTTGTTCCTTTGCTTAGCACTGTCATCCTTAAAGTATGTAAGGTGTATGCATTTACAGTCTGTGCCGCTAATTTATAACTTTTTTAATATTTTTTAAATACCTTTTTTTTTAAATTTGCCACAAAATATTTTTACTTTTCTCAATTAGGTTTTATTTTTTATATGCTGTTGCAAAAAATTTTTGTTTGAGTAATTTTTTCTTAAGTTAATAAATTATATTTTTGTGTAGCTCTGAATTGTTTGTCAACAATTACTCTAAAAGTATAAATATTATATAAACCAACACTTTAAAGGGATCCCAAAGTGCTGTGTTGTGTTCATAATAAAGAGAATGTTTAAAAAACATGTTTGGGCTGAATTGTTTTGATTAAAACAAAATTTTAAATGGATACCAAGAAAACTGACTTTGTAGTTTTAATCAAAGCTCCATTTTAGTATGATTTTTTAAGTGTATAAAAAATATGCCACAATCTACAGACTTTATAATTTA